TTTTTTTTTTTGCCTTTTTTTTGGTTATTAGTCTGGTATTTTTTCCTTCGCAGTTACGTGACACAGTCTTTTGGTATCTGTAACCTTATATGATGTGATGAGTCTACAACAAATGAATGAAAAGAGGTGAAAAGAGAAAAAAGTGAATAGCGAACAGTCATATGAAGTAAGAGAAGCGGCGAAAAAGAACGAGGTAGTTGGCATCAGCAATTCGTACAACAAATGCTGGCTGTTTGGTGAAAATTCTATACGAGTTTCAAATGCCATAAATTTAACCCTGCTTGGTAGGTACCGCTTTTTTTTCTCTCCATCTTGGTGTGGTTCAGAGTGGAAAAGAAAGGTGAAAGGTAGCAAAAAGGGAGAGAATAGGAGGAGCAAACAGCGGGACATAAAGCCTCTTCAGAATTACCGTTATCTTCCTTTTTTTTTTTTGTCCACAGAAGTGAGGAACGAAAAAGTACTCAAAATGTGTCATAAATCGTTAATATGAACAATAATTTTTACATTTTTCTCTTTCTTCTTTTTCTTTTTCATCTTCTTCTCCATTATTTCTAGCATCATCACCATCACTATTACTGTCGTCGCCATCGTCGTTATTGTTATCGTCATCGTCATCGTCATCGTCATCGTCATCGTCATCGTCATCTTCCATTTCTTTCTTCGCTCTTTCTTCTCTTGTTTTTTTTTTTTCTCTTTGGAATGCCTATTGCTGTGTTCGGTTAAGATGTAAAGAGTTTAAGCAATATATCATTAAACCAACAAAATAAGCAATGATTCAAATTCAGAAATGGTCTTTTTTTTTTCAACATTACCATTATCATCAGCACCACCATCACCATCACCATCATTATTACCAGCAAAATCATCCTCATCCCACAACGTCACTATGTCAGCCATTACGGCAGCACTCAAAGAATTGTTTCAAGACTGTTCAAACAAATTTTTTTTTTCTTTTTTGCTTTAACTGATTGCTGATAGTTTACTTCTATTCCTGTTTTGGGTTTCTTGCCTGGCAATAATAACAACAAAAATAACCCTATTCCATCTTTTTTTCTTCCTATTTTTTTTCTTTTTTCTGCCAAAGTAAACTGTCAAGAAAGATGGAAGCAATATGAAAAAGAAAACAAACAGATGGATAGCAGAGTGACAACAACAAAAAATAACAAACAGAAGTTCAACACGTTTTGTTAAACTTTTACAAGATTGACTTTATTTTTTAGTTTCAATTTGGTTATTATTTGCTTTTCGTTGT